CCCAACCCAACAACAACCCAATTCCTGCGTACCTTCTTTACTGGTTACTTGTTTCTTTCAATTCCCTGACCCACGGCAACTGTTTGACCTCTGACATCAGGCTTTCTTCTTCAATCGCAAATATCTCTATATTTATTCAAGAAAGATGGGTATTTTTTAAAATCAAAAAGCGAAACAAATGGAATAGGTTTTCAGATTATGCGAAAAACTCAATTTTTCCAAAAATTGATGAGAGCCTGGCTCTATAGATTGTGTTGTTGCACGTTGAGTACTAAATTTCGCTGTTCATAATTTTACGATTGCAGCACTGTTACCGTATCAATTTTTGTCTACAATTTTCATCCGAGGCCCCCTTAAGTCCTTCCTATGGTTCTAAATCAAGATGCGGAGGAACCGTGCCCCTAAAATGTGGCTGTCTCCTCGTCTCTGGACACCACGCAGATCCTCTGGAAGCTCTCAGTCTCTGTACAGCCAAATACCATGAAGTGCGTTTATAAGGACGACACTCGTATTTGTGAATTTGATGCCAGAACTCATAGGTATACAACTTAAACTTCACGCCGAATGCGTCGACGCACTCTCCGCCAATGCGTGTAGCAGAATGTTCCAAGAAACCGCGGAGCTCGCACCCGCAGGGTAGAGGAGTCCCTTTGAAGAGTAAGTAAGCACTGCTGCCCGGAGCTGTCACACACGAATCTAGGCCGATCAGTCCAGTGTAGGCCAGGTTGATCAACCCTGCTTTTACTCGGTCGAATTCACGCGGGAACAAATATAAAAACCTGTTGTAGCTCAAATCAATGTTAGTAAGATGGGGTAAGTACCAAAACACGCCTGGCTCAACGAAGGATATATTGTTATACGATAAGTTCAGAGAAGTCAAATTGGGTGGGAATCGATGGGGTGTAAGGCAAGTGAGTTTGTTTGAGCTTAGATCCAACTTTTTAAGAGGCATAGATCTCAGAGGAAGCGGCACCTTTGGGATACTGTTATAACGTAAACTGAATTTGGTCAGGTGGAGTCCCTTGAATACCCAATCAGCAAAGGATATTATTCTGCAGTCATCCAAGATGAGTTCCCTTAGTGAATTAGTCACTGGTGGGCGCAAAAAGCGCGTGTAGATAATAAAGTCCCTTGCGAAGTACGGATTACACCTTATCTGCAGACTTCTCAGGTGGTTTAGAGGAATCACAGGGTAAAAAGGGCTGGCAAAGAAAAAGGTAGGCGCATCAATATCTAGCGACTTCAGAGATTTGGCGATGCTGGAAAATGCGTATCTGGAATAACCGGTCACGTACTTTCCTGAAATTCTGAGACTTGTGATTTTGACTTGGGGTGGGAAATCTCCTGCATACACGTACGGAAGTTTTGGAGCGTGTAAATGAAAGTGTATTGAGCTCGAGCCGAGCTTGAGCAACTCAGATCGTGGGACTCGCTGGCCGGGATAATTGTAGCAGGATACTTCCATATACGAACGGCGCCATATGCACTTGCACTTGTTTATACAGGCTGGGGAAGCAGGGTGTGCTATGGTGGTTAGAAGAAATACCCAGAGTACGAAATGGCTGCTTCCAGTCATACTTTTCATTCTTTTTTTTTCTTTATAAAATATACCGGTACTTCAGTATAGAACTTAGATGTTTGCAAGGTTCTATATGTTTTTAACCCGTGATTTCGATGGTGTGGAAATGAGAGCTAATTGTTGTCTCGAACAAGAAGACCGGCAGATCGGAAGTTGAAAGGTTGACAGGTGCGCTTTGCCGAATCCAGTGGCCACGCTCTGTGACTTTGTCTCTGGAGAGTAGATTGTCCACAGAGGACAATATGCAGGCTGAGACCTGCAAGCGAAAGGAAACAATACCGATATCAATTAATTTTTCTGTAATTGTTTCGGTTAGCTGACGCCTGTAATA